ATCACTCACCAACTCCTTCACAACAGCTAAATCTCGCTGCCACGCGCCGCCGGTCAAGCCACCCTCTCATTCTCCAACCGCATCTCCGGCGACGCATCCAATTACTCACCACTCACCGACCCCTTCCCCAGCAGCTAAATCTCCCGCTCAAGCGCCACCGGTCAAGCCACCAACTCATTCTCCATCTCTATCTCCGGCGGCCCCAACACCAATTACTCACCACTCACCAAGCCCTTCCCCAGCAGCTAAATCTCCCACCCACGCGCCGCCGGTCAAGCCACCTTCTCATTCGCCATCCCCAGCTCCTATTACTCATCACCACTCACCGACACCTTCCCCAGCAGCCAAAACCCCTTTACACGCGCCGCCGGCGCAACCACATTCTAACTCCCCTGCCCCTTCGCCGGCGGCCAAATCTACTACACACGTTCCGCACGTGGGACCACCATCTCACTCGCCATCACCATCTTCGCACATTAATCATTCACCGTCACCATCCACTGAAGCTGAATCCCCAAAGAAACACAATGGCGGCGCACCTCAGCCGGCGAACCTGCAGCATCACCACTATGCTCCATCGCCGCATGCATAGTCTCCGACGGCGTTTCCCCCGGCCCACCATGCTCCGTGGTAGTTCGTTGGTTGTGATCGTTGGTTTCGGATTTGCGGCGACCATGATTTCTGCTGGCTTTCTTTACTTGTTTCTACCTTTTTACTTCATTTGTTTCCCATGTTTTATTTGTTAGATAGATTTGTTTTGAAACTTTCAATTCAAGTTTGTGTAATTCATTTGTAATTCTTGCTTCAATTCAATTAATCAAATTTCCTTTAATTTAATACAATTAATACCATAGGGACCAGCAAATCAATTTACAAAATATGAAATTATCGAACTAATAATTTAATATGTTTTCACCGAGTCAGGACGTGGACAAATTATTATTTAATTGATGTTATTAATTATTCAGATTCTATTGTATATTGAATTTCTACTTTTCATACTGAATTTTCACCTTTGATTATGTATATTTTATGAAAAAAAAAATTATTTATTTGCAAGAGTTATTACATGTAACCTATATATATCACAAATCTATACTTGTACTGTTTTGCAATGTTGCAAGAAATTATTCGACAACAATCTGTCCTCTGTAGTAACGCTGGACACCAATTCTTTATTACTCCATGAATTAGGATATTTACATAAGATAACCGTTAGTCCTAGTAGAATTTAATTGGTTGACAGTTTTTAAGGTTGACATTTTAGTAAAAATAAACCGACAGTAATCATATTCTTAAAATCAAAGAATTTATACTGGATTGAACGGGTATAAATGTATCGATACTCTTAAATTTGTTATTAATTAATAATGTCAAATATTTTCGGTGAATGCAAAAGTCGCATTTACCCCTTCTAGTACTAATATCCTCTCTTATGCAAAATGGAAATGCACCTTTACTCTAATAGTAGAGGGGCAAAAGTCGCATTTACCCCTTCTAGTACGGATATCCTCTCTTATGCAAAATGGAAATGCACCTTTACTCTAATAGTAGAGGGGCAAGATTGGAAACCTACACTTTTACTCTAATAGTACTAAAGACTATGTACCAACTCTTCTAATGAGGGTTGATAAGATATGTTAAACGTTGTTAGTATAATGCAGTAAGTACGTATAGCACATAGATAGAGATGCAAAGTGTATTTCACGCAAATATTTTTACGGTTGCGTGTGGTAGAAATTTTTTCATTCGTTATTTAATTACTACTACTCGTATCACAACCCGGGTATATAATTACTACCAAGTAACATTGGAATTTTTTTATTTTTTATTAGAGAGACCCTCTCAAAACACATTTATCAAAAATATAGGATCAATGCTGTATTGGCTCTTAGCAACACCCGTCATTTAAGATTCATAATACCATAAATCCAGATTACAGTGATATTCTCGTTATGCTTCTTTTTCTTCGCCAAAAATCTTATTTCAAATAACATCGTCATTTTGCAGATATCTTCTTTCTCTCTCTTTTATCGTCTCTCTTCCACAAGAACGGTATTTCCGCGGCAAAAATTAGATCCCTCTGTACTTCTCTCTTCCCCCTTTCTCTACAATGAGAGACGCAGCAGCTAGGCTTTGACAATGAGAGTAGCGATATCTGCAACGTGGCGGCTGTTCGTGCTAGGGTAGACGACGACTAATGTTAGGGTTTGGCGGCGGTTGCGCGCTTGTGATGCAAGATGGCGACGGTGCGAACGACATCGGACGCGGCAATAGTTCGTTCTAGGGTAGACAGTGCATTTTTGCTAGGGTTTGGCGGCGGTTCTTTCAAGAGTAGTTGGCGACGATGCTTCTCCTAGGGTTTAGTCACGCACGGTGCACGATAGTGAATTAGTAGTTCGTTTTCTTACTTTTTTTGTTGGTTGTGTTCCTAGTTGATTTGTAGTTGTTTCCAAATGTATGAAAACAACTACTTATTAACTATCGGTGCAATGCGAATTTGTAGTTGGTTCCGTATTTTCATAGTTGGTTTGTGCGTGGAGTTAGTTGTGTTCGTAGTTGATTTGTAGTTGATTTGTTGTTGATTTTCTAGTTGATTTCAACTGCATTCTTAAAACTATAATTTAAAATTAGACAACACCGGTTTAAAAATATGGTTGATTAAAATGTAATTTGTTGTTGATTAAAATTTAGTGTTGTTTTAAGTGCGATTTCTTGCGGTAGAGATGACCGAGCGAGTTATGGGACTATTGTCACATATATTCAGAATGCTATATATTGGTTCTTTCGATTATTTTTCAGCAAGTCACATCAGGAGACAAAAGAATATAGTTGCGCATGAAGTGGCTCGACTTTCCTTCGATGGTCCTTGTATGATTACTACGCTACCTCTATTCGAATTGTAATGATGGAGGCTGAAATCTAATAAATCGTTTTGTTTCTTCTAAAAAATAATAAAATAAAAATTAAAAATTTAGTAAGTCCCACCAATTTTGATCCAACACTAACGAACTTCGGAACATGATATTTCATTCCAATTTTCAACGTTTTAATTTTCAAATTTTACGAATTGTTTTTGGCATAATTTGAACAAATATGAGATTTTGATTTCTGAAAAATCATATATTTCCTAAAAATTCCAAAATTTATCTCTATTGCGTATATAATATCAAAATTATTATGTAATTAATTATACTAGCATTTTTTCCTTGTGCGATGCACGTGATATTATTTCAAGAGTAAAAAAAAAATCAATTTAATACATAATAAGAAAATATAGTACACAAACATAGTAAAATTTAATAATGTAGTATTATTCATATTCTATATAACATTAGTTTGTTTAAATTTTACATATTAAGATTTATAATCTAAATATATAGATTTAGATTTAACATATCGAATTTCTATTTTTATTTCTTAAGATTTGATTTATATTGATGAAAAATAAGAGATTGATCATTGTTGAAAATTCGTAGAGAAAAATATTAAAAATAAATAATTAAAGACATACCATTAGGATTTTTTGGGGTTGTCCAACATTTCTTTCTTTTATATATAAGATTATATATATGTGAATAAAAAAAATCAATTTTCGACTCACACTCAGATCCAAAGAAATTCAACTTCGGAACATATTTTTTTTTCATTTCAATTTCCGAAATTTCATGATTTCGATATCTTCGAATATTTTTCCAAAAAATTCCGGTATTCAAAATTAGTTTCATCTACGTGGTGCACCGTGCTATCCTATTTTTCATTAAAACTATAATTAATACTACAATTTGAACATAACTCAACAGTGATAAATTAATTAATTAATAATATATAGATATAATTATATATAAATATAATCCACTTTCAGACCATTCAACTCGAATACATGATGACAAACAACATAAACACTTAATTAGATAATTAAAACAGCCTTCCACTGAACGACGTCGTTTAATTTAAATAAAAAAAAAAACCCAACCGAACCTGTAATAATAATATTGAACACACACACACAGATGCATCAATGGTTGTTCCTGGCACAATGGGTGATTTTAGTGCAGCCACGTGTATAAGGGTTAGATCTTTGGCGCGTGTTGCAGTTGTAGTAAGACCTCCCTCTCACGTGGCACGGAACCCAATCCCTACTGATCGCGCCGTAGCTGATGTAATGATTATTATTATTAGATCCCGCCAATATTCTTCGGCTAATATCCGAATCCATCATCCCAGCTTCTTGGTCGTACGAGTACATCGCAGCCGTACGAGCGGCAGCAGCTGCGTACGTGTTCTGCATGGACGGTGGAGATGACGAGGGCTCGACTAGCGCGCACAGAAGTGCCGCGCAGACGATTAGTGCCCACACAAGATTGGTCATGCTCATGCTCATTGTATATGGAGGTTAAGAATATTACTTACACAGAATTATGGAAGAGATGTGATGTATATATAGATATAGATATGGGTGTGAAGTGTATGTACATATATTTATATATATATACATATTATGGAGCTGAATATATTTATAAGGGGTTTTTGGGTTGGTGTAGAAAGTGTGGGCGAGAGACTAGATATATGTTAGGCCCGGTTCTTGCTCCTTGTTATTCTAGTGTTTGTTAGAGAAAAATCAAGAATGGAATAGTTATTTATTAGGGCAAATTGCACTTTCACCCCCTCAAAAGAATCCTTTTTTTGCAA